CTTGGGTGTGATGTGTCCGTTGCACTGTCCACCGGTCTGTCCGTCCGTACAGTGAAAGAAAATATCACCGAGATAAGTAGTCTGCTCGATAAGTTCTAATAATAAGGTCTTTGAGGTATGGTTTTTATTTTGATGGAAGTATTATATTTTGTATCATCTTTAAAAGCTATTTTAGGGTTGTTAAATGGTATTGGCCATTTATATACAACACCAGTAAGTATGCAAAATAATACTACATAACTTTTAAATTTTTTATATATGAATACAATTTTTTTTTATTATACATTTATTTTCTCCTTTTTATATCAATTTAAACTGATAGTTGTTAGTAGTTATATTGCTTATAATATATTCTTTTCAAAGTAAAAAATTATTTATTTACCTGTAAAGTTGTATAATATAGTTTGTTGAGAAATTTGAAAATACTCAACAAATATATGAATATATACAGTATGCAATTTTTTAATGTTAGAGTGGTTTTTTTTCCCTGTACGTGTCCGTTTGTCCATTTTGTCCGCTGGCTCGTACTTTATGCCCACCGTATGCAAAGCAGCCCGCAGCCCAGCTACATGTGTTTTACATGAATTTTAAATGATATGTTAAATAAAAATGCGCAGCTAAACAGCCCAAGGCACCGCTCCACAGTGAAGACAACGAAAACGGACACGGGAATGGGACTGGGAATGGGAGTGGGAAAAGAAACCACTGCAACCACAGTGACTGCAAAGAGTGCGTGGACAGCTCACAGCACACGCAGTCATAAAAGAGGGAATCCCGAATGGGAGCACTTAAATGCTTTCTTCAACACTGAATTCCGTGTTGTTAAAGTTTATTATCCAATTAAAAATTGCTGAAAATTATCATAAAATACGGTGATGAGAAACTATTTTAATTGACCTTGAGACATTTAATAATATGAATAATAATTTAAAAAAAATATAAAACAAGATACAAATAAATTCCTTAGCAATATCTTTATTATATCTTAAGCACACGCAAACTAAGATTTTTGATCTTAAATTTAAAAAATTGAAAGATATACATAGGTATCTACATTACATTTCGAAAATTTATTAAAAAGCATAAATGAAAGTATTAAGTATAGTACTTGAATGTTGAATACAAAATATTTTTTGAAAGAATATTTTTTTTCTTCTTTCTTTGTCAATTTTTTAATCTGATTTCAACTTATGTTTTTAAATATCTTACTAATTAAATACACTTAAATTCACTTTTCCTTGTTCCACCCACTGTGCATTCGTATAAAAAGGCGGAGAAATGGAAGCGGGGAGCTGGGCGAAAACTATGCAAAGTTTATGCGAATCTAAAATATTTGCACTGGGCAAGCGCATGCGCAGCACACTCAATTGTTCAAATACATTTATATATATCTTAAAGGCGGGAGCAGAGAGGAAAAAGGAAAATCCAGCAGGAGAGGGAAAACTGGGCAGCAGCCGCCGATGGCCGATGGCCGGAGTTGGATGTTGGATGTTGAATGTTGGATTCTGGATTCTGGATGCTGCCTGATGCTATCAATTCAAAGTCAAATGGGGGGACAACAAAACAAATCGGCGCTGCATCTATAATGAGCCCAGGCCAACGTGGACCGGGCTCAGAGCCTTGGCTCAAAAAAAAAAAGGAAAGAAAAGAAAAGAAAAACAGGCCGGGCCAAGGCCCCGAGTCGGAATTGATGAGAGCGGGCAACCATATGGCCAGCGGGCTCGGGTCCAAGCCCAGACTGGGATCCAGGTCCAGACTCGGGGTCCGATGTTTTGACTTGCATGTGCCTCATTGAGTTGTTCGGTGCGGAGGCCCCTGGCCCCGATCTTCTTGGGGAGCACGATCGGCTACAGGGACACCCACCCGACGCACACACATAGGCCTACAGGCGGGGTCAAGAAAGTAGTAGAGCCCCTGGGGTTTCCTAGAATTCGCAGCCTCGATTAGAAAAATTATTATTTTAAAACGGCCAAAAACCGTAGTTATGTTCCCCTAAATTTTACAATTTTAAAGTGTTGCTTCACGCAACTAAAAATAAAAATATTAATAGTTTATATCAGTATTATTAAATGTAATATTAACCATATTAAACCATAAAACAAGAGCAAAATTTATATTTCCAAAAGGGAAAAGTTTACTTATTAAATATAAATATATAATATTATTTTTTTACTAAGTCTCGAAATATATTTCAATATAGAATAGTGATAATTGTAAACATAGTCAGGAAGAAAAGTTGTAGGATGAGCTAATAAAAATAAGCTACTGAAACAATTGCACAAAATGTAAATATATGTCATGTAGGCAAGCCACTTTATATGTTTTATTTTGTATTTCTATAAAAGCAATGCCAATATTTCTTTATTGCATAATAACTAAGCCGCCAAACTTGTTGTAAATAGAGCTTTGGTTCATCCGGTACTATTGCATTGACCGCAGGTGTGCACACAGATACGTTCAGTGCCCTGGGGCCATCACCGTTCCTAGTCCGATTCGCATTGATTGCGAAAATTGTTGAATGCCGCACAATTGAATCCGGTCGCGGGTCCATAAATGTCTTCATTATGATCTTGAGTAGTTTGGCCAATTTGCTGGGGCCCAACTGACCAACAGATACTCGAGGATAAAGAGGATATTGAGGGGTTTTCGGTTGAGTGTATTATTCAATTTTAAATTGTATGTGGAAGTACGTAAGCCAATATTTATATTTCCAAAAATATTTAATAATTTTGTGCCCAAAACAAAACTCAAATCGAAATTGAAGAATATAATTCCGCTTTGAATTTTGGACATCAAAAATGTGAATTATATTGTTCTCTGGTCTTAATTTTTAAAATATAACAAATTGAAAACAGGTTATCTCTTTGCTTTATAATGAGATAAATTTATTTTCTACAGCACTGTTTTAAAACTAATTTAAAAATCATTTCGATGAGGCATTATTCAAAGCATTGACATTTTGTCTCTGCTATCGACATTTAAGGAAGAAATTAAAGTTGATAAAACAATTAACTCATTTTTGCTAGATGGTATATTTAAACGCCCATCCTCGGGGAAAATTCGCAATTGAAAAACTGTGCCAACACCCAGCAGAGGAATAACCTACGTGGCTGGGGGAAAATCATGCAAATGCAACCAGAGTTCCTGTCGAAATCGGAGTCGGAGTTAAAATCGCAGAAGGAAAGGCAAAGGCAAAAGCAAAGGCAAAGGCAAATCAGGCATTAAATTGCTCATGAGGCCGACAATTTCTTTAAACACAGAGCACTGCGCAGCGGCTGAGTTGGTAATAGAAAAGGATTTGACTCGATTGAACACCCGAATTTGCAATTTTCGAGTTAAGCTCCGTTGCGCCCCCAACGCCTCGGAAAAAATGGTGGGCGGTGAGCTGAAATTATAGCCCGAGCCCAGGCAAGTGGAAGAGCAAACGGAGTTTTGGCCGTCTTTTTTCCAATTGCAGCCTATTTTTTGTTTTTTTTTTTCGGGGCCATCTCTTGGCCAAAGCACTTAACACGTCAACACGGTCGCCGGCAATGTTTTCCCAAGCAGTTTTCGGTGGGAGTTGCGATCTGGGCTTACCCACGAAGCGGGAATACGCTACCTCAGTTTGCCCATAAATAATATGTAATAATCCTTTATATAGTGCAAAACTTATTTAATTTTTAATGACTAACAGTTCTTCTTTTTTTAAAGCTTTTGTAGAAAGTAAATTAGGAATCAAATATTTCAATTTGAGAAGTGATAAAGAAATCCTATTACTTATTACCTGAGTATTTTAGTCTAATCGTACTACTTAAAACATAACTAATACTTTTTAACTGATTAGTAACATCGATTCTCAAATTGTTGTTCTAAATTTTCAATATTTAAAATACTTTTAATAATTAAATAAATTTTTAATTGGGAAACTGACTAAATCTTTGGTGAAAACACAGCTTAAACATTTAAATCAGCTTGAGTTCCTTGACATTCACTACGATTACACACAGACCTTGCAAATGGAGGAAACTCCATCACTCACCCAGTGTTTTGGCCATATCGATAAAAACAATGTTGCGGTATTCTGCCTTATGCTGACTTGATTACCCAGCTAACCAGCTGCCGTGCCAGAAATTGGAGCCAAATCCAAAGTCGAGGATAAACACGAATGGTTGATTGTAGGTGCAAGTTAAGTTGCACTGGGAAAAGTAATGTGATTCTTGTACGGGTTCAATGTGTTCAAATACATGTTTTACCATAAAACTTATTGCTTTATCAAATTATGTTTATTATTAAACAGATTCTTATAAATGAAATTTTTTTTAAAAATACATTAATGTATTGTGAAACCTATTCAAAAACTTGATCTATGTACATTTTGAAACGTGCATATATTTCTACACTACATAGGTTAAAATCGAAATAGAATGCATTCAATAGTAAATAAATATCCAAATGGTGAGTCTATCATATTTTCTTGCTGTGTGTTAGCCAACTGCGATAGAGAATGGGATTGGGACTCGCATGCTGCATGACCATATAGATCGATAAGATGGTCGAAGATCGATTATTATCTATTTTGGCAGAAATCGATCGTGATCGATTTATGCTGAGCGGGTCTGAGGTGCTTCAACAAGGTTAAGTGTCTGCAGAGCCTCAAAAAAGGAATTATAATAGCCCTTTTGGCCATCGGAGCTGTTAATGTGGCAACATGAGTTTAAGTGGACATGGCGAAAAATCACCTACACCTACACTGGATTGGGCAAAATATCGTATTAAGAGATATAAACTCGGAGAAATTTTAATAAACATATTTATTTATTACCATATATTTTAAAAATGGAAAAATTAATATATCTATATTTATCTAAAATATATAAAAACATATGATAGGTGATGTGATATTTCGGATCTCTGTATACTTATTTGAATTTCTGTGGCAATCTCAGTGTTCCCTGACTTATCCTTACCTGTCAAGTTGCCTGTTCGCCTTGCTTTAGCTTTTTCGATTTGGTTAGCATCGTAATCTCTGGCAGCACAAATAACAAATAAATTTATAAATTAGCGGCAAGGAGTGGATATGTCGACGTCCCCCGAAGATCGGCTGCGCGAGAGCCTCAACCGCTGTCTGTCGGACTCGCTGGTGAAGGGATTCGGAGGTCTGGTGATCGGGTCCGTGGTCACCCTGCTCTTCTTCCGGAGGCGCATCTGGCCCGTCTGGCTGGGCACAGGGTTCGGCATGGGCATGGCCTACCGGGGATGCGAGAAGGAGCTGAACGAGGTGAAGTTCGCCCACCGGAAGTGATCTCTGGACAGCCGGACATTTGATTTTACTCTTGTTTACACATGATTCAATGGCTTGTGCTTGGAATGTGGATGTCTTTTGGTGTGGGATAAAATGATTTAATGCAAACACAAGGCCATGGATGTTATTGATAGTACTTTCGTTTAATAAACTCATAAGATGGTTTTACAAATTGTAGAAAATATTACTGTATACTGAGTTGATCATATACAATTGTTTGTAATCCAACATTTTATAAGCGCGAATTAAATGGCCATAATCATTAATTGATATGATTTGTGTAGTCAGTTGTTGAATCCACCTTTATCTTAGCCAATTTGGAGTTGAGAGAAAGCTGTGACCTAAACACTTTTTGAACAGTCCTACGACAGTCTAATCAAGATCAGTATGCGATGAGGAACAAGTGATATAAGTCAATCGGCGACACCTAATTTTCTTTTTTGGTCACCTCAAGTGGCTCTTTCATGTTCACCGATCTTGGTGATCGTTCAAGGGCTCCATAAATCGTCTGATCCCGTTGCAGACTGGTGCTAATGCGACAAGTCCACCGGAATTCCCTCTGCCCCTCCACTTTTCTGTTCTTTCCCCAACTTGCGCTCTTCTCGGAAAGATCGCTATTCGCGATCCATTTGCCAAGATATAGTCGAGGGCTGAGGGGCTGAGAATCCAGTCTGCAGTCGAGGCAATCCGATCGTACGATCAGGCAGTCAAAAACCGGAGGAGATTGTGTAGCACGGTCGGCAATTATAATATATACAAAATCCATTACGGTTCACAGGTCAAATGTAGAAATTGAGATAGATCCGCGGCCAGAGGCTGGATTTGGTTCATTGGCAGCTTTGCACGTTGTCCCCCCTCGAGATTCATCTGCAATCCTCTTTTCAGAGCTGCCGAAAGCAGCTACTAAATGATTTACAAAATTAATTTATAATATAAATATGTTACATATAAAAATCGAATCAGCAAAACAGTTTTTTAAGTAATTTAATCTGAGATATATTTTTAAAAATATTAAATATTTGGTTAGCAAGTAGAAAATTAATTCTTCTCTACAAAGAACCCTATTTTCTTTTTAAGTACATTTTTTTTCTTTGAGGACCAAGATTTCTATTAATGAAGACAAACTATACTTTTAAGATTTTTAAAGCAAAATCAAGTTGAAATTTTCTAATGTAATATTAAAGTTTGCAAAAGAACTAAGAGTCTTTAGCTTAAGTTTTTATGATAATAAATACAGGAAATTAAAAGTATTGGGAATGTCATTTCTTAAGTTCGTATAACGCCTTCTAAGTATATTCTTATCATGGGTTTGAATATCTATTTATAATTTCTTGTTGGCTAACTCAATGGCTGAATGGGCAGCACTGATCCTGTCGACATCGTCATCGTCATCGTCGATCAATGCTCAATTCAGCTGAGTTGAGCCTGTAGCGCCGCATCGCATCGCATCCCATGCCCATCAAGATAGTCGAAGACCCATTGCCTCCATTGGGTCCCTCCACGCCTGATCCCCGATTCCCGATCCTCGATCCCCAATTCCCGATCCCCAGTTCCCGATCCCCAGTTCCCGATCCCCGATCCTCGATCCTCGATTTGAGCGGGGAGGCAATCGTGATCGACTCGAACTCTGTTTTCTGGATACTGCATTCGGGACTCTGGATTCCGTCTGTGGCTTCCACTCGCCGTAGCTCAGAATTCGGCAGCAATTTTTCCTCGCCGTTCCTTTTTCCACCTTTTCCACTGCCTGGCCATATATATATATATATATATATATACGATATACACGATATCCGATGCGGCGACAGATTCGTTTTGGCAGGTACGCAGTCCATAGCGGAGATGATCAAAGAGGTTCACCATTTACCAGTTCATTTATAGGGTATTTTGAAAACTTAAACTAAATAAAAACTTAATATTTCAGGATATATTTGATAATATTTTTATATTAATTAGGTAATTTATGTAATACTTAGGCATCTCCGAAAATATGATAAACGCTTTAAATACTGATGAAAACAATGCCATTAACAAAATCAATAACAATATTTTCGTAATGCTTTCCTTTTCCTTCTTATAATCAAAATGTAGAAATCATTTTTTAAATGTTGTAAAGTCTGTTTTAAATATTTGGTTAGATAGTTTTTCTTTGTCCTGCGAACTAGTTCCCAGTTCGCATTTGGCCATCTCTGGTCACTGCCAATCTTCGGCTGCACTCCTTGCCACAAAAGCTGAGGCCTAGACCAAGTGGCCAAAACCATTCCTCTGCACTCGAAGCTCTCGCGCTCTCCACGTTTAATAAGCAATTTTGATTTGGAGCAGATTATGTGACGACCGAACGAGCTGCAAGTTCAGGTTGCATGCCACACTGATGCACTGCACCACTGCTGCCTGGCTACTGATACACTGCAAGAAAACTATGTGAGCCATATATGAAAACATCGTTATGGGGATATTTAAAAAATATTTGCTTTGATAATGTTTTAAACATTTATTATAGTTTGTTTTTATTGCAAAATTTCGGATATTACTTGGTATTATTTTTATTACCTTCATTTCAGCTGCCTAGAAATAGTTGATACGTTTTTCGCCGAGTGTAGGCGAGCCGAAGGAGCTTTTGGCTGCGACTTGCACTTGACTTTGTCGCTGACCCGGCAAAGATTTTTAACTGGGACTTGTTGCCAGTTCCCCGGCTCCCTGATGCCGATGCTGTTTACATGGAACTTGTACTGATTGCTCCTAGTCATGCCCCCGATTTGGAGATTCGCAATTTTATGATAAGCGCCCCGAGTTGCCGAGAGTTCATTTTCGCAGGAATTGCCTGAATTTTTTTTTTTATTGAATTTTAATTGGTCAAATGCTGATGAGCCAGGCTAAGTTCAGTTCAGTTCGGTTCAGTTCAGTCCAGTGCAGTGCAGTGCTGTTCAGTCGGAGAGTCGATGAGTCCCTCAAGATGGCAGAAGCATGTGCCTGATGGCCAATCCGGAATGGCAATGGCAAAGGTTCCCAAGAAAATTTAGATCAATTTTCCTAATTTACCCGGGCCGCGGCGATTGCGTGTCGTGGCGTGAAAAACGGCACTTGAGGAAAACCCACAGAACGTGGATGAGAATCGAGGTGGAAATTCCACCGGCGGAGGAGGAGACACCAGCAGAGGCAGAGGCATTGGCAGAGGCAGAGGCAGAGACAGAGGCTGAGGCAGCGGAAAATAAATCACGACTCAAGTTTCGAAAGCGCGAAACTGTTACCAAAGCACTTAAACTTAAATTGGCCAAAGCGAGCTGCGAGCTGCGAGCTAATCCAGTCGAGATCCCCACAAAACCCCGACTTTTGCCCGGGCGGGGAGTCCCAAATTAGAAATAGTGTAGATAGATACGCCAATAGAATTTATAGCGAGCCTCGGACTGCGTTCCTTTTGCTTTTGCTCTTGCTTTTGCTCCTCATGATCATGGCCTGGTCAGGTTAATTTTGGGCACGACCACGCGGCCATGCGGCCATGTGGATGACGATGATGATGGCAACGCACGAAGGAAGCCGCACTGAGTACACTGCCAGAAAAGGCAGCCACACGATCAATAGGCTCAAGTTGGGCAGGGGTTTAAGTTTGATTTTCATATACATGAAAACTGAAGGCTAGTAGCCTGTGCTCCTATAAAAATTAACCATAAACAATAGCACTTCGTGACTATATATACATATACGTTAAACATATAGCTCTGATATATTAAAGTGATAAATAAATATATAACTTTTATTTTCGAGCTTTGGGATAGTTAGTTAATTAATAAATAACATATCCATAACACTTTAAGGTTATAAATAAACCAACAAACAAATAAATATATAGCAAATCCATTAGAATATTAATTTAATAAATTAATATAATATCCGTAGTAATATATTATTAAGGTAATAATAATAATAAATAAAACAACCAAAACATATACATTTTATTGTGCTTTTCAAGCTTTTCATAAAATAAAGATATATATTACAATCTTACTTTCTGTTATACAAGATTATATTTTCTATATCTGTTTAAGCCCAACAAGAGTTATCAGTTAACATATTGTTTGTGAACTATACAAATTTGTTTATGCAACTAAATGCTTAAGCTTTCCTTGTAAAAGCAATATTTGATCTTAAAGAAAAAGGTAAGTATATTGAATTGTTTGCTAGGCCCTTCGCCTTTCAACACTTTTGTTTTGCTGAGTGTAAAACTGGATGAGCAGGGGGTTGGGTGGCGGTCATGGAGCCGAGGCAGAAACGTGCTCAGGGATCGCAGCTTAAGTTTAATGGAACCAATTGAAGATATTTTGTGGGCAAGTGATAAAGTTGTATGCCCAGTTGGTGGGTGCCTTCTTTGCTGGAACCTGGCTTTTCCATCATCAGCCACTCGGCGGTGCAAGTTCACTCCACGAACCCATTAAATGATGCGTAAGCCCAACGTGATCATGCGTCTCCGAGGGGGCAGATCACACGATCCTGATACGCAGAGTGGAAAACCTGAGGAGAAATCAGCGTGAAAATTGCCAGCGCTGAGTTATGTGAAAATTGCGGAAGAATTTCGTGAGGCGGCTTGTTAGTAGATGGAAGCGAAGCCAGGCTAAGCAAACCAAGCCGCCAACCAAAACCAAACTCAAGTCAAACTGAACTAAACTAAAGTAAACCAACATTGAGCAGCCAGGTCCAAAGGCAATTGGCCTGCAATCAGTGGGGGAAGTGGGGGGAAGTGGGTGAAAGGCGCTGCAAAAGGGGTTGGGAAGTAGGTTAAGGTAATTCCCAGCACACAAACATATGGCCAACAAATTTTGGCTGAAATTGCAGTGAGAAAATAACTACCGTTAAGTCTTTCCATCATAGGTTGGCATTGAATAAACCCTTGCTTCCTAATCTATAAAAATCATATTCATAAAATATTTAACAAAGATCAAGTTATAAAATTGGAATTACTGTAATTGATTTAGAGGGGAAATCCCTATTTTATTATACCCTTGCAGAGGGTATTATAATTTTGGTCAAAAGTGTGCAACGCAGTGAAGGAGACATCTCCGACCCTATAAAGTATATATATTCTTGATCAGGATCACCTCCTGAGTTGATATAGCCATGTCCG